CGATTGAAGAAATAAAGGACGATCCAATTTTGGCAAAAATGATCCCGACTTTGAATCAAGAACATCTCGATGTTTATCGTGAAACAATAAAAAATACAGACTTTCCTGAATCCGGAAATGAGGATCAGCTGAAAGAATGGTCGAAAAACTTTATAGACACAAGGAATAAATTTCGAAATGAATTTGACAAAAAGTTTGAAATGACAGTGGGAGGGACTACAATTGGAGAAACTGATAATAAATTAATAAAAAAAGGGAATTCAATGAAAAGCTCAACGCATGGATCGAAAACAACAGAAGATGAACCAACGAAAATCCTAAGAAGATACAAAGATAAAAAGACAAAAACACCGGTCAGCATGATAAGGTCAGAATCAACATCGAAACCAACAGAAAATAAAACGACCGAAATTCTATCAAGTGATTCGTCCCAAGTTGAAAAGCCATCAAATCTCAGCTTAATAGACGAACAACAATCAACATCGAAACCAGCAGATGATCGAAGCACAATAATTCCAGCAAGTGATTCGCATCAAGTTAAAAAGCCAGAATCAACAGTCAGCGATGTAAAAGATCAACAATCGATAACCAAACCAGCAGATGAACAGGTCACCAAAATTGAATCTAGTGATTCGCAGATAGTCAAAAAACCACTAGCTAATATTGAACAATCGACATCGAAACAAACAGAAAGTCAGAAAACAACAGAAGATGAATCAACGAAAATCCTAAGAAGTGATTCAGACAAAGATAAAAAGGTACAAACACCGGTCAGCATGATAAGGACAGAATCAACATCGAAGCCAAAAGAAAGTCAAACAGTAGCCGATAGTCAGAAAGAACTTTTGTCTCAATTCAAAAAACAAGAAACTACATTCAGCACTGTAAACGAACAACAATCAACACCGGAACCAACAGTAAGTCAAGCGACCGAAAACCAGAAAGAAGTTTCGTCCCAAGACAAAAAGCCACTAGCAAAAGCCAGCGTTTTAACTGATATTGAACAATCAACACCAGAAAGTCAAACGGTCGATAGTCAGGAAGAACTTTCATCACTAGTCAAAAAACACGAAACTACATTCAGCAGTGTAAACGAACAACAATCAACATCGATTAAACCAGTTGATGAACAAGTCACCAAAATTCCGACAAGTGATTCGTCCACATATGAAAAGTCACAAACTACATCCAACATTTCAGCTAATGATGAACAATCAACATTAAGCAAGTTAGACAAAACTATAACAACAAAACAAGAAGAATCAACAAATTTTCCAATCACCACCACCACCACCACTACTACTACTACCGAAACATCTGAACCAGAAATCAAAATACCAATATATTCGGAAATAGCAAAAAAAGCATACGAAGATGGATTTAAATATCCATACTATGATCTGTTGGATGAAAGGGTAGAACTTATGAATAAATGGAAAATTAAAGAGGCAAATTATAATTACAAATTGAACGATTTAGAACCACTATCAAAAAAAAATGTAGAGAAAAATCATGAGTATCAAACACTCAAAAAAGAATATGATGAAAATCTAAAGGCATTTCTTAAACAAGCAAATGCTTTAAATGACAAAATAGATGAAGCAAGAAAAATAATGAAAAATGATATAAGCGAAAAAGATAAAAGAATTTTTAAACAAATTGAACGGTTTGGAAAAAAAAGAAATAAAACGGTGAAAAAAATTATAAATGAACATATTCAGAATCCGGGTTTTGTTGAAAAGTTAAAGAAATTTTTCAAATCAAAAGACAAACCAACAAATGAATTCAACTTAGAACAATTCGAATATCATATTGAACCAACATTAACCGAAAATGATATTGAAAATGATTTATTAGAGAAATTTGAAGAACAAATCGAACAACAACAACAACAATCAAAATTAACATCATTTTCGGAAAATGAACAGAAAAATAAATCTGGTTTAGAAAGAGTGGTTAAGGGTATTTTCAGAATAAAAGATAAAAAAACAAATGAATCCTTAGTGGTGTTAGATCCATTAGAATATCGTATTGAACCAATATTAACCGAAAATGAAAGGTACATTCTAAATCAAGCAATCGAACAAAGTTCGGAAAATAAAGAATACAGAACTTCGATTCTTAAAAAAATGCTGGAACTTCAAAGTGCAGCTGCAATAGATAAAGCCAAAACGAAAGAGGCAATACTATTTAGAGATGACTATGTCAAATCTTTATACAATCAATTGGTGGATGAAAAATTTCCAACCGATAAGAGTGAAATTAAACCCATTCTGACTGATCAGGACAGAAATTATTTACATCAAATGATTGATACCTCGCAATCAAAACATAAAGATTATCAAATTTATATACTTAACGAAATTGAAGAAATCGAACGATCTAGACCTCTTACGGAAAGCGATCGTAATGATTTAAAAGAATTCATTGAAATATTCAAAAAGAGATTATCTTTTGAAGGGGAAAAGCCTGAATATCCTTTATCTAAATTTAGGCGTAAATATGTGCCTGGTCCAAATCCAACTATAAGTGAGGAACAAGAAGATTTTCTGTACTTTGAATCTATGATTAAACCAAGAATGTACAATAGNAAAAAAACAGAAGATGAACCAACGAAAATCTTAAGAAGTGATTCGTACAAAGATAAAAAGGCACAAACACCGGTCAGCATGATAAGGACAGAATCAACATCGAAACCAGCAGAAAGTAAAACGACCGAAATTCTATCAAGTGATTCGTCCAAAGTTGAAAAGCCATCGAATCTCAGTTTAATAGACGAACAACAATCAACATCGAAACCAGCAGATGATCGAAGCACAATAATTCCATCAAGTGGTTCGCATCAAGTTAAAAAACCAGATTCAACAGTCAGCAGTGTAAGCGATCGACAATCAACACCGAAACCAGCAGATGATCGAAGCACAAAAATTCCATCAAGTGATTCGCATCAAGTTAAAAAACCAGATTCAACAGTCAGCAGTGTAAGCGATCAACAATCAACACCGAAACCAGCAGATGATCGAAGCACAAAAATTGTATCTAGTGATTCGCATCAAGTTAAAAAACCAAAAACAACAATCAGCGAAACTACATCTGTAAATGAAGATATCAGTGGCCAAGAAGAGAAAAAATCAATTATGAAATCGTTAAATGATTTGAAAGATCAAGACAATAAACCTTCATCTGTACCATTGAAACAAAGAAAAAAATCGTTGAGCAAATTAGCAAATTTTCCAACCACCACAACCGAAACATCTGAACCAGAAATCGAAATACCAAAATATTCGGAAATAGCAAAAAAAGCATACGAAGAAGGAATTAAATATCCATTTAATGATCTGATGGATGAACATTTAGATTGTGTAAATAAATGGAAACTTAAAGAGGCAGAATATAAATACAGGTTGAATGAATTGGAACCACTAGCAAAAAAAAATTCAGAGAAAAATCAACAGTATCAAACACTCAAAAAAGAATATGAAAAAAATAAAAGTGAACATAAGAACAAAATAAAAAAATTAAATGAACAATTAGCTATTGAAAAAAAATTAATGACAAAAGATATAAAGGATAAAGATAAAAGAATTGATGAACAAATTGATCGGTTTGGAAAGGAAAAGGAAAGAAAAGAAATATCGAATGAAATTATATTTGATTATAAAAAACCTGGTATTAGAGGAAAGCTTAAGGGTATCATCAAACCGATACAAAAAAAAAAAGATGAATCGGTCAACTTTCCATTGGATTATCGTGTTGAACCAATATTAACAGAAGATGAATTGCACATTCTAAATCAAGGAATCAAACCTGAAAATTCAGAATACAGAACTTCGGTACTTCAAAAAATGTTGGAACTTCAGAGTGCAGCTGCAAAGGATAAATCCAAAACGAAAGAGGCAGTACTATTTAGAGACGATCATGTCAAACCTTTATACAAAGAAATGTTGGAGGGAGATTATATTTTTGATGAAAGGGAAATTAAACCAGTCCTGATTGATGATAATTATGATCAGGACAGAAATTATTTACATCAAATGATTGATACTTCGCAATCAGAACATAAAGATTATCGAGTTTATATACTTAACGAAATTGAAGAAATCGAGCGATCTATACCTCTTACGGAAAGCGACCGTAATGTTTTAAAAGAATTCATTAAAATATTTAAAAAGAGATTATCTTTTGAAGGGGAAAAGCCTGAATATCCTTTATCTAAATTTAGGCGTAAATATGTGCCTGGTCCAAATCCAACTATAAGTGAGGAACAAGAAGATTTTCTGTACTTTGAATCTATGATTAAACCAAGAATGTACAATAGACCAGTCGATTATTATGTTTGGTATTTCAAAGAACTTTTTACAACTAAAGGAAAATATTTTTATGATCCTACACATCGTCGGTTTGCTACGATAGATAAAAATAATAATAATTTGTTATTAGAAAATTTACTTTCGGAAGCAATATCTCATTCAGCAGCAGCACGCAATAGAAAAGGAGGATCAATTTCAAGCCAATTACCAACCGTAGCGATGAATATTGCAGAAAATACGGACGTGACATCCAATCAACAACAATTAAAGTATGGTGATCAACCAAAATCATCATCATCATTATCTTCAACACAATCATCCAATACGGATTCGTTGATAAAACGTGTGCAAAGATCAATGAATCAAGCATTTTTACAAACAGCAACACAGATGCCTGAACATCCATTTACTGATTATAGCCAACAATTTTAAATGAAAAATTTTTTTTAATTTTATTTTCATTGATATTATTAAAAAAAAATTTACTAAAAAAAAAAATAAAATCGATAAAATTTTCTCATTCATTTCTTGGGCACTTGGTCCCACTTGTAGTAAAGAAATAAAGGAATAAGAACATTTATTGTTGTTGGAAAATGTATTGCCTGGCTATTTTAAATGGTATTTACCGACCACGTTGTGAGATGAAAATTTTGACCGGGTAATTAATCATTTTTTTTGGATAAATTTGTTTCAGTAGACGAGTCGAATCTGCGAATGGTTTTGGAATTTATCGAATGTCAAATTTTCTTCATATGCATATCTGTTTCAGAGATAGCATTGAGATTGGATCGATTGTTGATTCAAGCGAAAGAATTGGGTGTTTCTCATGAATAATTAAATTGCTACGTACTGCCGTTTAATGGAGCCATGAATGGTGACGAGTAGAGATGTTGATTATCAAATGAGAGTAAATGTCGGATTCAATACGATCGCTGCCGAAGTTTTAAAAAAACACTTTGAAATACAGCAAATGGGCGACGCAGTATTGAATAAATGAATATGTTCGAGTTGTTGTTACTGTAGGAAACAAGTTTAATGGCTTGTTTTCTATGTGATAAACCTGGTCATTTTGCTATCGTTTGTAGAATATGTCGATAAATGACTAATAACTTGATGATAAACAAGATGATGTTGATGATGTCAATTATAATGGATCAAATTATTATTATTTTTTTGTTTTTAAATTTTCTCTTACAAAACTGTTTCAAAAATGTTTTTTGACGTCAGAATAATTCATCAAATTATTTTTTTTTTTTTTTGTGAAATAAATTCGAGAAAAAAACTGCTCAAAACAAAAAGATTAGAAACAATACAATTTAAATGAAAAAGTTCGGAATAGAATCCAATAACAATAGTGGAAACATAAACATAAAAATCAGAATCAGGCAAAATGATTGATTTTATTTTGTAATTTTTGTTTTCGTGAACGAGAATAAAATGAAAACTATTATGCTGTTGAAAATTAGCCTTTTATTTTTCTATTTTAGTCGAATGATTGTTGCAATGGATGTTCAAGATAAAAAGTCACTGGATAGAAATATGATACCATATAAAACAGTATATGGTGTACCAAGTAAATGTACGGGAAGGTCTGATCATCAAACAACCGAAGAAAGATATAGAACCTGTCAAATAAATGCCATTGACAAATGGAAAATAGAGATGAAACATTATGTAAGCTGATTCAATAATTATTTTTCAAGTCAAATCATAATATGTTTTTTTTTCTCTCAAACACACAGTACACTGAAAGTTGGATTTTTTGCTGTTTCGTATATGATGTTTTGGAATGCGAAACAAAAGTTTTGTATGAATGTGATCCAGGCTATTCCGACCGAAATGACAAAGAAACAAGACGATTGTTTGATAAATCATGTCAACCAATCATGGAAAACGAAACTTGTTACAGGACTGTGATAGAAGAAAAAAGTGATGATACGATATGGAAAGTATTAGGAATTGGTGCAGGAGTCGCACTATTGTTGGGTTTGATATACGACTGTGCTCAATTTTGGAGAAAAGAGTATAACACAAAATTGATGGCAAAAAAAGCTTACAAAGCAGAAAAATTTCAACAAAAATATGAAAAGGAATTCATTCGTGCGGTTTATGACCATGAAGTTGAATTTCAAGATAAACAATATTTCACAAATGCTCCTAAACAAACAAGTGAGAATGGAGAAGCACAACCAATCAAAAAACAAGAAACTGCAAAAATGTCGAACAAAGATTTGAAAAAAATCAATAAGAAAATCAATTCACAAATCGAGGCAGATTCGAAAAATGATCCGAGTTTCTGGGATGATTTCAATAAAGATCCAGACAAATATAAACAACCAACCGGGTTTAAGACAAAAGCTAAAAAATATTTCAAAAGGTTATGGCCTTTTTCGAAAGGCAATAACAGGAATAGTGAAGAACAACTGAAAAGAGAAGAACTGATCCGATCGGAAGCTCGTCGACAGTATGAAAATATCCGAAAAAATCGATTAGAATTGGACAAAATATCAACAGGGAATGAAAGTTCGATTGAAGNTTTAAGACGAAAGCTAAAAAATATTTCAAAAGGTTATGGCCTTTTTCCAATGGGAATAGTGAAGAACAACTGAAAAGAGAAGAACTGATCCGATCGGAAGCTCGTCGACAGTATGAAAATATCCGCAAAAATCGATTAGAATTGGACAAAATATCAACAGAGCAAACAAAGTATGAAAGTTCGATTGAAGAAATAAACGAAGATCCTCTTTTGGCAAAAACGCTCAGGACTTTGAATCAAGAACAGGCCGATGTTTATCGTGAAACCATAAAAACTACAAACATTCCTGAATCCGGAAAGAAGGATCAGCTTAAAGAATGGACGAAAAACTTCAAAGACAACAGGAATAAGTTTCGAAATGAATTTGACAAAAAGTTCGAAATGACATTTGGTGAAGAATCTGATAACAAATTAATAAAAAAAGGGAATTTGTTGAAAAGCTCAACTCATGGATCGAAAAAAACCGAAGATGAATCAACGAAAATCCTAAGAAGTGATTCAGACAAAGATAANAATAGTGAAGAACAACTGAAAAGAGAAGAACTGATCCGATCGGAAGCTCGTCGACAGTATGAAAATATCCGAAAAAATCGATTAGAATTGGACAAAATATCAACAGGGAATGAAAGTTCGATTGAAGAAATAAACGACGATCCTCTTTTGGCAAAAACGCTCAGGACTTTGAATCAAGAACACGTCGATGTTTATCGTGAAACCATAAAAACTACAGACTTTCCGGAATCTGGATCAATGGATCAACTGGAAATATACACGAAAAATTTCAAAGACACAAGGAATAGGTTACGAAATGAATTTGACAAAAAGTTCGAAATGACATTGGGAGGGACTACAATTGGAGAATCTGATAAAGGATTAAGAAAAAATGAAAATTGGTTGAAAAGCTCGACGCATGGATCGAAAACAACAGAAGATGAATCAACGAAAATCCTAAGAAGATACAAAGATAAAAAGACAAAAACACCGGTCAGCATGATAAGGACAGAATCAACATCGAAACCAGCCAAAAGTAAAACGACCAAAATTCTATCAAGTGATGATTCGTCCATAGTCAAAAAAACAGAGTCAACAGTCAGTGATGTAAACGAGCAACAATCGACATCGAAACAAGAAGAAAGTCAAACGCACGAAATTCCATTCAAGAAAGCCGATGAAACAAAAAAGAATTCTAAATTGGAACAAAATTTTGCAGAAATTCAAACGAATGAACATTGGACTGAAACCGAAAATCCACAAACAGACAACGTTGCAACTTACACAAAAAAAGATTCCGAAAATAAATTAAGTGAAATTGAAAGGTCATTGATCGATTTAAAAGATAAAAATAAAGATGATGAACTTTCATCTGAATCATTAAGAAAGTTGGACAACAAAACTATAACAGCAAATCAAGAATCAACAAATTTTCCAGCCACCACAACGGAAACATCTGAACCAGAAATCAAAATACCAATATTTTCTGAATTAGCAAAAAAAACATACGAAGATGGATTCAAATATCCATACTATGATCTAGTGGATAAAAAGAAAAATCTTGTGAATAAATGGGAAATTAGAAAGACAAAATATGAAAATCAAATGAAATACACGATACCACAAAAAGAATATAGGGGTTTTTACGACGATTGGCTCATAAAAAAACATAAAATCGGACGAAAAGCATTTCACAAACAAGCAAACGAATTGGATAAAAAAATTAATGAAGCAAAAAAACAAATGGAAAATGATTTGAATGAAAAACAAAAAGAAATTTCAAAACAAATTGAATGGTTTGGAACAAATCGAAAAAAAACCGAAAATGATATTAAAAATGATTTATTAGAGAAATATGAAAAACAAATCGAACAACAACAATCAAAATTAACATCATTTTCGGAAAATGAACAGAAAAATAAATCTGGTTT